TATAAAGACAATAAATAAACGGTTTGCTCACGTCAGCTAATAATAATTTAAAATGCTATAAATTATTTTTTATAATTATGCAATCAACATATTAAATTGTTATTGGTGCCCAGTAAGAATCTCGAGGAGGTCTGCGCATGCCTTGCCAAAGATCAGTTTTTATTATCATAATGTTAATTTTTTAATTTACTGTAAGCCTTCGGGCTTACAGCAAATGTTTAAATACATTACAGTTACCGTCTATGCACAAGTGTACACGTTGGATAGATGAGCGGCGGATGCGATGGAATAAACCAGGGTTGTTACGTATTTCTTCAGCGGCATCTTCGATACGATTCCGCAACTGTGATACACGATAGATTTCATATAACCCCATATACAAACGTCTATAGGATTTAGGTCCGGCGAGCGGGCTGGCCATCTTATCGGCCCTCCGTCTAAAAATCCACGGACATCGCGAGCAAAATGGGCTGGAGCTCCGTCGTGCATATACCACATATCCCGTAACATCTGAAAAGGAAGGTAGTAACGCGGCCCATTCAGATGTTCAAATAGAAAATGCGACCCAATTAAACGATCGCTATATACTCCTGCCCATACATTGACACCGAATCTCTTCTGAAAGCTACACCGACAAGTAGTGTGCGGGTTTTCATCTTATCAAATGGGACTATTATGGCTGCAAAGAAATTAGCTCTGTTTCACTTTAAAAAAAATAATATTGAAGTTACAAAACTCCAAGAGTTCAAATAATTTAAATTTCATTTTATAATCATTTCAATTTCATTACAGAAATAATGACATAAAAAAACAGCAGTCACTAGATAAATTATAAAGAGAGGGTGAAAAGTATGTAGTATTTAAATATTGACTGTAAGTAATGCAAGAGAGACTCGTATATTACATAAAAAACAATAGGACAATCGGACGGAGACAAATTCCGGCATAATAAATAACTCGGTGCGTGTTTCAGACCTAGGCTAACCTGTCCAGGTCACTAACCTTCTATCCCACTTTCGACTTGCACATGCACTATATGACTATAGTAGGATCGTTTTCGATGCAAAGTAGAGCAAAAAGTTGTCGGTCTTTTATCAAAGGAAAACCGTGTCATCATTTTTAGGAACCATTTTAAATTTAAAATTAAATTTATTGTAAAATCTGAAATACCGCTGCATACGCGCTGTGTTTTGGTAGTAGCTGTAGTCGCCCAGGTGCATCGAGTGTACGAATTGGTCGGTTATACTAACCTGGCGAGCTTGGTCGTAAATGAGAGAGCGCCTCTAAAAAACAAGTAAACAATAGTGGCGCGTACAGAGGTAAAATGTAGTACATATGTGGACTTTAAAAAACAAATTGGATTTATAATAAATTACATTTAAAATAAATAGTTTATGAGAATAAAGGAATTTTTGTAGGAACAAGAATGCCAGACGTGAACTGATCCTTAAAAATATTGTGTTTTATAATTAGTTTTGATAACTCCAGCTGAATGGAACTGGGCACGTAATCATTATCTTTAAGGTAAATTTTGAACGGGGCTTGCGACTTACCTCAGGTTTTCCTGGGTCTTCTCTGTAGTAGAGGACCCTCAGTATTCAGTCCGGTAATGGGAACAGGGCAAAACAAAATTGCGGCACACTTAAATTTAATTAAGGCAAAAGTATCTTGTATTATATATCGGCACCCGTGAAAAAGCATTGAAGCGTTAACAACTGACGACTCGAACTTCCACTCTCTGTCCCCATGTAGCTGTGTTAGTCGCAAGTCGGTATCGCGCAATTTAAACAAAAAATAATAACAAAAGCGAACAGAACAGCGGATTATTGTGAATGCAATAGGGCTAAACTAAACTAAGGCGAAAATTAATTATATTAAAATGACTATTTTGACGAATACTGAACAGATCCCTTTGTCCAATCATAATGTATAAAGAAATTATTCAAGTTCTAAAACCCTTCAAAGCGTATTGCACTGACAGGCAATGATTTATTACTTTGCATCGAATATGATCCTACTATAGAACTCGGACAAGACGTAAACAAACATTTTTGTCTCGATACATGATAAATAGATATTGTACCTTAAATATTGTGATAACAATTGTTATTTATTCATTAATGTCGATGCTAAAACAACAAATGAACAGGGATTAGTGTTTTCGAATGTACGGTTATTACAATTTATTATTTTTAATATTAACTTTTTCATGTTTTATAATTTATTATGTTAAATAATACACAGTTTTAGTATTATGTTCTATTTATTATTCAATATGCATTTGCGTATAACCAAAGTTTACATAATGAATGTAAACTTTAGTGTAAATGTAAACTTTGGCGTAACCTAGGTAGGTACGTATTGTTTTTGAGAAAGTAATATGTTTTTACCTGTTTAAAATGCCAGCACGAGTAAAACAGCATTCATCTGTCCAGAGCACTTTGTTCATAAAGTTAAGTTCTGCTGCACTTCGATTTAGGAACCAATTGCAAAATTCAAAACGATTGGGGAAATCAGCTGGTTATAAAGCTTAAACTTTTTGCAAATGGTACGGGACGAGTGAATTCTCGCGCAATATCCGTCAAACTTTGGTTTGTGATATCACCAATCGCCTTGAAATTGTTATTATGGAAATAGTAGGCTGCTCCTCGACTAAATTTAAAACAGCCTCTATCACATTTAAGTCATTTTGTCGATGTCCTGCACGTTTTCTGCGCGGTATGATAGACCCCGTGTCACGAAGACGTTGGACGGCTTGCACAATTGTCTGCGGGCTTGGGAAGTTCTGTCTATCAGGGAAACGTCTCCGATATTCAATTGCAGCGGTAAAAATGCGGGAGATATGCAGGGTGGTAGATGTGAATAATCGCTTTAAATTGTTAATGGTTTTGTAACCGTGTGTAGTGTATTTTGTATATTCGGGTATTTAGTGTGCCGACTTTTTTATTTGATAAAATATGGTGTGCCTACAAACAGGTAACTACCTCTGCTTTATTTATTTTCTTTTAACGAAAGTTGACTTCGAGAAATCAGGCTTGTTAAAACATTTTGCACTAAGTTAATACAATTGTTAAAATTATTTATAATATAATGCAGCATGCTCCTTTATTTACTTGGATTTTATTGGTTTCGTACATATGTATACATATACTAAAGCGGATTAAGTGGATACGTTTATCGCGGAACCCAAAGTAAATGTGAACCACAGATTATGATGTGAACTTGGCAACGCTGTTCGCTTCAGCTGACGACTCAATCGTGACATTACGTTACAAAATTCTCCGAGCATCCATGTATCTGGCCGGGCCGTCATCTTAGCGGTAGTTATGGGTTGATTTCCTTCATTTTTAAAAGTCGAGTAAAAATTTTTTTCCGATTTTCTTTATGAGGCCTTCCGAATACGTAGTTAAAATTAATGACATTATGACTGAATCACCCTGTATATGCCCAAAATGTATTGGGGTTATTTTTAATATTATCTTCAATTGATCTTAAGTATTCCCTATAGGACCTATCAACGTCTCTCTTTATTTTGCATCTAAGGTCTCTAAAATCATTATGAAATCTAATATCACCCGATAATTTAAATTGATGCAATAACTTGGATTTCTTTTTTATATCTTTAATAATAGGGTATATCACTTAGGTTTCTTAGTATTACGGAGTTTAGTTTTGGGAACACAAACATCCATCACATCATATATACGATCATACATAAATCTACATGCATCATCGATTTTTTGAATAATATGTAAGAGGCGACCAATCAATGTTACGAAGATTTTCATAAAGTAAAGGAAAATCCGCGCGCCGGAAATTATACAATATATTATTATTATTACATGAAAAAGTCGTATTATTAGTATAATGTTGAAGATGACTATGAATGATTATGATTATGATTATGGTTATGATTATAATGATGACGATGACGGCGATGATAGCAATGAAGGCGATGACGACGAGGACGACGATGGCAACGAGGACGACGATGACGACGAGATCCACGAGGACGACGACGACAACGAGGATGGTGATGACGATGACGACGAAGACAAGGAGGAGGAGGATAATGGTGATGGGGATGGTGTTGGTGATGGTGATGACGATGACGATGACGACATACATACATACACACTCTCAGGTATACATTAATGCACAAACACACATGTACATACCCATACATACCTATACGAACATATGCAGACTACGATTCACACAATAATATTATCAGATAGGTACCTGTACCCTCAAAAAATATATACACAAACGGTCCTTTTCAGTGCCACTAATGTGCAAAAACTGGCTTGACAACCTCTTCGTGGTGCACTTCGGGTTACTCTAATGTCGACGGTAAAGATGACTTATCCAATTATAAACCGGTGTGTGTAATTCACCGTTCGTCTTCAATAGCGATCAGTTATATGGGGATTTGAGATCTGTACCGTCGCACCGACGAGTTGAGCCTGTCAGCCGCCCCAGCCAGTAGATACTTTGCTGTACTTACAATAAGTAAGTCCTTATTGTGAGAACTGCGCAGCTGCTGACGAGCACTGCATGGGAAATTAAGCTGTGTTGGAGAGTTAGTCCACACGAACTTAGCAAACAAGCTGAATTAGATTCAGTTCGTCTTTATCCGTTGCAACGACCAGGCTAGTCCGAAGACCACCGAAGTAATGTTCCGCGCAAATCCTCTGAGGTGACAAGAAAGCTGGCGAGGTAATTGTACTGCAGAGTTAGTTCCACTTCAGCGTTCCGACCGTTTAGACGTGCGCAGGAAAGGACGTCAGTAAAAGGTTTAGGTAAAGACTTGACTACAGTCTGCTTTGTATTAATTATACCTTGAATATTAGATATCTGCCCGTACTACAACGTAGTTGGGTGGTTGTTGTCTCTTTTCGGTACACTTAACCCAACTGCGCGTTCGGCTAATAGGATTTTGTCCCCCCCTTTATGTCCTATGAGTTGAAATGCAGGTCGTAGTTAATCATACTTTTCCTTCAGATTTCCGCCAGCCGCTGGCCTGTCGTGGAGAGCCCTGTTATTACTGTATATTTCTTTTCTTTGTGTAGAGCAAGCCTGTAGTCAGTAAATATAGCTTTGCTCTTTGTCTGAACGGTTGCTTCCGCTCTGCTGGTATCTGAACCCCGCTTTCCGTAATAACAGCTTGGTTGTTCCGCTAACTCTGTTGTGCTTTGCTTTTAGTCAGGTGACCGTTTAACACCGTACCTTTATTTTACCGTTTCCAGTAGTGACCAGCCGTTTGTCACCATCTAACCGTAGCTTAATAGTAGCAGTATAGGACTGTAAGAAACGTAAATATTTATCAAGTCTGACTTTTATTCCTGTGTGAAGCTTGACTCTTTCTAGACTCTCTGGACATACCGTGCCTTCACTATGGCTGCCCGAGTAGCTGTTTTTCTACACTGTAAACAGAAACTGGCGCGCGAGGTAACCGCCGCCGCTCAGGCGTCATAGTGACACGTAATAGTAAAACGTCACAACATCTATAAAGAAGTTCAAAAATACTCAAAGACGGAACAATTCGCCCCGATATGTTCACATGGAGTCCACCTGTGTTGTACCTGAAAAATTACACGCTTCAGGTAAAATAAAATGAAGAATTGTTGTAGAAAATCTAATCACAAAACTACATCTGACACAATCATATCCTATCTCAAATATTACTGACATACTGAACAAATCAGGCAGAAGTTGTTTCACCACGTTAGATTTAGCTTCTGGTTTTCACCAAAATGAAATGACACCAGAATCAATTCCAAAAACTGCTTTTAAGACGGAACACGGACATTACGAACTTTTAAGAATGCCTTTTCAAAGAATGATTGACAATGTTCTTCGTGAACATATTAACAAAATTTGTTTAGTTTATTTAGATATTATTTTCTTTCAACCTCTTTACAAGAACACAACACAAATTTAAAGAAGATTTTCCAAATTTTAATAAATGTAAATTGAAAACTGAAATTACAAAAATCAGAACTACTTTAAATTTTTAGGACAACGGTAAGAGAAAAACGCACTGAACACTTAACAAAAAACACGCTGATGCGGAAAAGTTGTACTCAGACCATATAATCTTCATTAAAAATTACCAAATTAGAAAAAATCTAACCCAAAACGTGGACCTTATCACAAAAAGAGAATAAAAAACAAACGTAAAATTGTTTCAGATACACCACGAGGACGACCCAGAAAATGACAATGACGATGTACATACTCATTCAATTTCTTATCTTTTCAAAAGTCCTAGCTCAAATTAAAATTACCCCAATTAAAAGTCAGATCGGCTTCTACATCTAAATTAATAGATAAATATAATAAGAGTCACTACATTAGCATAAAATCAAAAAGTTATTCAAAATTATTCCATGCAAACGAACAAATTAATTATGTTCAAAATGTACTTATTCAACTATTTATAACCCTAAATTACATTAATGATTTTTTAAATGAACTAGAGAATGTTATCTTTTCATAATGAAATCTTGTGCATAATTAAATTTTAACAAAGAATAATTTAATGCACATACTAGAGGTAGCAAAAGAACTTTATAGTAATCAAAATATCTTAGACCTCAATCATTTCCAAAATTACTATTCATATTTAGGCACTTCGGTATATTTTAGTGGCGAATTAATTACACAGGCCAACAAAAAAAATAGGGTGTTTTTGAGACCTGACCTCACATATCTGGGGGCAAGGGTAAAAATATGAGCAAAGGGAACTTTTAGTTTAAAAATATTTTTTAGTTTTGGTTTTACCGACAGGTTTTATAAAAGTTATAAAGGTTGCCACATCTGATCTGTATTTATTTTTATTTTTGAAAGAAGTAAGTGAGAGATACGGATGAGTAGGGGGGGATCCCTGACGTCCAAACAATTTTTTGCCATTTCCGGATTCAGCGGATTTTAATAAAGGTAGGTAGATTGGATGGCCAGTTTGGAATTTTTGAATTTTTGGGGGAATTGTGGATGTGTGGGGAAGAATCCACAAGTCAAATTATTCTTATTTTCGGATTCAGCGGAAAATTTTACTAAATACAACTGTCTTTAGTAAAATGTGGGTGGATGGCTAGTTTGAATTTTTTAATTTTTGAGGGGAATTGAGGGTGTGTGCAGGGGAATCCACACGTCAGAAATTTTTTTATTTTTTCGGATTCAGCGAAAAATTTTACTAAAGATAGGTAGGGTCACGTCTCAAAAACACACGATTTTTTTTATCGTCCTGTGTTATTTTTGTTATCAATATGCCAATCTTAACATACATGCATTTACTCCTATTACCATTTCCCCCTGTCCTATACAAAATTTCACAATTTTCAATCACTCCTTTCCTTAGAATGAGTACCGAATCATACATTACGACGATCCAGGCATGTCCAAAAATCGATTATGTTATGCTATACACTCAGTCAACCTAAGAACGATAATTGCCTGGTCTAATTGCTGTCGAATGCTAATCGCGAAAACTGTCAAGCTTGCCATGTCGCATTGACCAAACCAGTAGGACAATGTTAGAAGAAAACTGTGTGCTAGTCTTCCCTGTTGGCACCACCAAAAATCAAAATTGCCAAAAAGGAATTTTAATAATGAGTCAACCAACAGTCCTGCGACTAACCACAAGTTGTAGTATAATCCTAGCCAATCTACGATTCTCAGCCAGCAAAACCGATATCCAGTTGCCGTTCTTCCAGTTACCAAAGATAGAAATTTCTTAGTTACGGAATATCATAATTAAGAAAAAGGCATCCCATCTGTAAGGAATCGACTTTGACCACATTCACTCATTAACGAAATTATTTGAAGAAGCCAAAATGGGTCGATTCAGTGTGGTGTTGATCCTATAAGTTCAATTAACCTTTCTCTTTTCACCATCATAATTATACTATGCTTGGGAGTCATCACCATTGCTATTCACACCAAATGGAGAAGCCGATGTCCCAGCCTGTTCGACCAACCGTCAAAAGAAGAATCAATCGAAGTAAGCACCATATATTTTTAATGACTTTAATAGATGTACACTTCACCCAAAAATTACTTAAATCCCTGAAAGGGTTTTTGAGATATTGCGGAAAGTTTTGATTATTTTTTTCTAAACAACACCCTGTAACTCAGTGAGAGTGCATTGCAGAAAAATATTTTATAAGAATTTTAATCTTATTTTGGTCTGGCCTACCCCCTGGTAAATTTTTGTACTCTGACACTGGGACACCCTGTATAGATCTTTATGTTTATTTCACAAAAGATAAAGCTTACTATTATATTATATTAAACAGGTGTAAAGAAATCCAAGATTAAGATTGTACTAAACTCATGACAGACGCTAAAAATATTTCTTAAAATGAGGCCAATTAAAAAATATATTTAATTTATCTGCGCAGTAAAGCAGAAACAAATATTTAACTTGTAAATATAAAATATATGTAAATATATTTTAATTATAGTCTTGTGTATGAATACCGTACCTATAAAAAATAAGGAAAAATGAAATTTTTAGATTTTGTAAGACGAAACTGCAAAAATAACATATTTTCCAAACGATACACATTCCGTCTCTTAATTTTCTTTTCTCGACATAAATTATTCATAATTTCTGTAGTTTCAATTAACATAGTGATTTTCTGCGATTCTTCTCCAACTACGTAATAATATTTTTACACAATAGACTCTGCGTGGCTTGTCCCGTAAAATATAACATAAACTTATAAAAAATATATGCATACCCGTATACAATAAAAATATTATAAACTCTTATGTAGGATAACTAAAGTTGATAACTTTTTAACGAAAATGTGATCTATTAGGTACCTACTCTCACTCTCAACAATAATAATTTTTATATCATTTTTATTTTATTGAATGAGCAAAATTTAAACGAAGAAAAATGTTAAAAAGCTTTATAAAAGTTTGAATTCATATTTATACTTTTTTTAAACCTCGTGTAATACTTACGTATGCAAGAATTCTTAAGTCCAGATCCGTAATAACCTTTTTGGCAAATACAAGCATAATGACCTGTGGTTGTACCACAAGTGCAAAGAGCTTTGCTGTCACAACAATCACTTTCAGAACATAAGATATTACATGGTTGATTTTCACCTATTGGAATATATTCTCCATTTCTTAAATCTGAAAATAAGGATATATGTATACAGTACATAAGGTAGAACATACGGGTTTTGTAAAATATTTATGACTTTTTTTCAAATTTTATCTTTATATGCTGTACTTCTGTATCAACTGTGATCTTAGGTTCTAGTTAGGGATTGACCATGGCAATAGAAATTTTTCATATGCATCGTGTAGGAACGCAAATTTATGGATAATTCTAATGATCAACGACCTGCAAAACGGTTTATATTGTATTTTTAATAAGATGAAACTCGGTAAATAGAAAACATATTTATCAATTTTTTGAAACCAGTGGCATGCACTCGCAAGCCGTCGATATTGTAGAAATTGGAAAAAGTATTAGATTGTACATCTGTACAAAACGAAACTGTGTGATTTTAAGAGAATGAAACTCGGTAAATTTAAAACATACTTAGGTACTTATAAATATTTTGAAACTAGTAGCTTTAGCTTCCGTTCGCAAGTGGTAGTAGTGAGAATGAGAATTTGGAAATAAATTAAAATTACTGGATGGTAAGATTTTATTTTCTTGAAAAAAAAAAAAAAAATGCAAACCAAAGGCAAATGCAGTGATCGATAACACAGCCCCCACAAAAAAAGTGAGAGGTCCGAAAGACAAGACTATGGGAGTTATATGTTTTTGCAGTCGCTGAATCCGAATCCGGTGTACGTTTGACGCGATTAGCTCTGGTTGAAGGTCAGTTCAAGGTCAAATGTAGAGAATCAATTGCCAATAAAGTAAACCAACATATCTATATGTTTGGGTCGGTGAATCCGAATTCGGAGTCCATTTGACCCAATTAGGTCTGGGTTAATGTCAGTTCAAGGTCAAATGTAGGGATTCGATTGCCAGTAATCTAAGTCAATGTATTCATACGTTTTTGGGGTCGCTAAATCCCAATGCGGGGTACGTTTGACCCGATTAGCTCTGGTTGAAGGTCAGTCAAGGTCAAATGTAGAGAATTCATTGCTAACAGAGTAAACCTACAAATCTATACGTTTTTGGAGGTGAATCCGAATCCGGTGTCCATTTGACCCAATCAGGTCTGGGTTAAGGTCAGTTCATGGTCAAATGTAGCAAATCGATTGTCAGCAATGTAAACAAATGTTTACATATACCTATACCTATACGTTTTTGGGGCCGCTAAATCCGAATTGGGGGTACGTTTGACCCGATTAGCTCTGGTTGAAGATCAGTTTAAGGTCCAATGAATAGAGTCAATTGCCAACAAAGTAAACCCATATATTTGTATGTTTTTGGGGTTGCTGAATCTGAATCCGGTGTCCGTTAGACCCAATCAGATCTGGTTTAAGTTCAGTTAATGGTCAAATGTAGAGAATTAATTGCTAATAATGTAAACTAATATATCTATACTTTCTTGGGGTCACTGAAGCCAAATCCGTGGTCCGTTTGACCTGATCAGGTCAACTAAATACTCTCAAATCCTAAACTCAAAACACTCAAGTTAAGCATTTATGCGTATTAAAATTTGAGTAACAAATAAAATTAAAGAAAGAAAGCTGTAACTCTGAGCCCGTGACCCTCGGGTTAATTGTTTTCACATGACAAAATTCTGGTATCGATAATTCTAATTAAGTAAGCTTTAAACCAATGCGTCAGTTAATGCTGCATTTGCATTAATTTACACACTTAGGATTATGGAATCGAGACTACTGTTCACTTTTGTGGTATCGAACTATTTTATTGTCAAAAGATCTGCGAAATAGTTTCTTTTACGTTTTCTCGATTTCAGTGATAAAGCTCGTTTTAACGACCAGCAGTAACGACTAACAATGGTACCGACGAACGCTTCATTTCCTTAATATCTTTTTAAAAACTTTCTCTTGCTCCTCACTGTAGTCACCCAAATTTTCTGGGAAATAATTCACGAGAATATAAAATATATAATTTGAGATTCATTAAACAGCCTAGGTGTTTGTTAAATGATCACATATTTGTTACTAAAATTAATGAAACGAGAAAGCAGCATAGTTATGTTTTAAGGAACTAATCGACAATGTCCTAGGAAATCAAGAGTCCAAACTATAAAGAAATAGTACCGAATTTGGTAGAAAACTTTAAAAACCTAGGATGCTTAATGAATCTCAAATAACATTTTTACATTCTCTTGTGGATTATTTCCCAGAAAAGTTGGGTGATTACAGGGAAGAGCAAAGAGAAAGGTTTTAAAAAGAATGCAATGAAGCGTTGGTACCAGGGCAAATGGGTTATAAAAATGTCACTGCTGGTCATTCTTCGCAGAACTTTTTACAACAAAATAGTTAGATACAATAAAAGTGAGTACCTAGTAGCGTCGATATCATAGTAGTGAGATATAGTGATTTCATGACACGGACTCACTTTTTAATGTACATGAAACATTAACGGACATATTGGTTTAAAGCTTACTTAATTAGACTTACTGATTTTAGAATTTTGTCATGTGAAAACAATTTACTCGAGCGTCATGGGCTCAGAGTTACAGCTTTCTTTCTTTAATTGTATTTGTTACTCAAATTTTAATAGGCATAAATGCTTAATTTGAGTGTTTTGAGTTTAGTACTTGAGAGTACCTGATCAGGTCAAACGGACCTCGCATTCGGATTCAGCGATCCCAAAAACGTATACATTGGTTTACTTTGTTAGTAATTGATTGTTTACATTTGACCTTGAACGCAGACCTGATCGGATCAAACGGACACTGGATTCCGATTCACCGACCTCAAAAGCGTATAGATATGTAGGTCTACTTTGTTGGCAATTAATTCTCTACATTTGGCCTTGAACTGACCTTCAACCAGAGCTAATCTACCCCAAAAACCTGTAACTATCATGGTCTTGTCTTTCGGATCTTCCATTTTTTTGTGGGGCTGTGTAAACTTAGGAACTACGTCCTGAAATAATATTTAAGTTACTCCCTATATAATATTAGGTGGATTAAACTTTATGATTAGGGTGTATCAATAAATTAAATAAAATTAATTAAATTTAAAATGTATTTTAATAGGTATGAACCATTTAATATTCATATAAAAACGGCCCCAATCGAGACGGAGAGATAAATAAAAGCCAACAGAAGTAATCGTCACAAATTTATAAAGTCGCCAGATGTCGCATATCTTATTGTCCATAAAAAGATGATCATCTAGTGTTAAACATTAGAAAGAAAACCGTTTGCAAAATTTACACTGAACAGTCGGTAATCGTTTCCCTAGAACAGAGTAGACATATTGTGGTCATATCTGAAGAATGCCGCAATATCAAAATTTTCAGATTTACCTGTATGCGGCATTTATTGAAATTTGTTTTCGGCAACTTGTTTTGTGAAATATTTTGAAAAAAAGTATATTATGAGGGGTTCGCAATTATAGCCATCATTTTGAAGAATATAGTCAATGCACAAAGAATTTAAAGATAAAGGGTGATAACTACTAGTATTATAATGTTTATTATATTGTTGAATAAATAAAATAGGTGACCTCAAGGTCATCGACCTACGGTCGTCTGAGGTCAAGGTCACCTCAAGGTCATGCCAAGGTCATCGACCTCTGGTCATCTGGGGTCAAGGTCATGTCAAGGTCATCGTCCTCTGGTCGTCTGGGGTCAAGGTCAACGACCTACGGTCGTCTGGGGTAAAGGTCTCCTCATTCCTCATGCTCCACTCAGCTCTCTCATTTCATCACTACTTCGGACACACCAAACCCATCTAGTTTGTACAGCAAGAGGTCGTGGTCGAGTCTGTCAAAAGCTTTAGTGAAGTCGGTATAGATAACATCGACTTGCTTCATCTTGTCAAGTTTTTCGCTAATAAACAGAGTTTTTTGGACAAGGTTAGTAACAGTGGATCTGCCCTTAATAAAACCGTGTTGCTCACACGCCAACAGCCCGGACAAGGATCTGTATAAAAAGTCATGTAATAAAATTTCAAATATTTTGGAGAAATTGCAAATAATAGAAATTGACCTGTAATTAACCAATTCATTCTTACTGCCCTTCTTGTGCACTGGGCACACTCTAGATAGTTTCCAACATTCAGGATAACACTAAGTTTTTATTAATAAATTAAAGATAGTTGTTAATGGGGCAGCAAACGCAGAGGCACAGTCTCTTATAAAAAATGCAGGTATTAAATCAGGCCCGGTTGTCATTTTTGGCTTAATTTGTTTTATCGCAGCAGAGACTTCATCTTCATTTAGCAGATTAGCGTTTGATGTAGATGTTCCACAATGATTTTTACCCGGTTTTATATACGATTGTGAGAATAAATCAGCAAAACTATGAACTATAGTCTGTGGATCATCAATAGTTTGGTCATTATACGTAAGCATGGAAGGAATTTGAGCTCTTAACGTTGATAAAGGACCAAAAACTTTTTGGATTAATTTGTATATTGCTTTCAACATGTACCTATAACTTATAGGAGATACTTATTTCATGTTTTATTTGGGACCTCAGATATTTAAACTTGTTTAAGAAAGTAGTATTTCCGGTATTCCTATATTTTTTAAGTGCATTACTTTTTTGTTTAATATTTTTAATAATTTTTCCATTGAACCACGGTGGGTAGACCTTTGAACAAATGTTTTTCGTTGGAATACATGAAAACTTATCAAAATTATTCATAACTGACATTGCCAATTTTATTGAAAAAAATCATGGTTGCGGTTAGGTCGGTCACGCCTCAGATGTTGGAAAATGTTAGAAAACATTTTTATTTATGATTAGGATACGGCCAAAACGTTCAGGGAACTAATTTTGAACATCTTTGTTGAAATTAAGTTTTTTTTTAGTGTGCTGTGGCGAATTTCGTCAAACTGATGAATTAATTTTTTTATAATGTTTCGCAATAAATATTAAAACCATAGTATTTTTGAATAGAGAATGAAAATACCTTTTATAGCAATAAAACCTTAAAAGAGACAACTGTGGAAAGGACCTGCTCGGCCGGAAATCTAGATGACGGGGCGTTTGCTGGACCTCATAAAAGTTCTAGACT